GTTGAAGAAATTCGACGATGACGTGTAGAACACCGTAGCTCAATTGTTTGGAACAACAGCACGGAAGACTATACTAGTTTAACCCCGCCTGTATTTTTTTAATTAATCTAGATAGTTGTTAGTTTTATATATAATTGTAATTAATAGTCTAGTATCCTATGTTTGGACCATCCACCAGCCTCGACGCGGCCCTCGTCCAATCCCATTTGTTAACTTAACGCTCAACTATTCGAAGCTTGTTTTCTCGTATCCGGTGTGATCCTTGTGTCCTCTTGTACCCTATCTGCAGTAATATAGTATACTTAATAGTATGTCACAACAATGCAGTAAAATATTTATTTTTATTTATATATCAAATTAACTCAAGTGGAGGTTATTTAATACGCGTAATAGGTGTTACACAAAAGAAATTAAAATAATTAGACAAGCGGGATTTTATAATTTATTTATAAACAGACAATTTATATCTGTCATTTTATGTCATTTATTACTACAGCGGCTGGCAAGAAGGCATTGATGGACGAACGTGTGAACACATACGTAAGTAAGTACTTTTCTCAAATAATGCGGAGAAATTAAAACAAAGTATTACAATTCAGAATATAAAACCAGTGACAAAGTTGACGAACAAGTAATCAGAATATGTATTTTACGCGCCAAAGTTTTTTTCCACTAAACAGCTATGTACCAACCAGTTCGAAATTTAAATTAAACCTTTGATAAGTTACCTCTTTGGTCGCCATGTTTTTCATACAACTACTGCCAGCCGCTGCTCGACCAGCACAGCAAGTTCAATTTTTCTAAAAGAAGCTTCGCGTTAAAATTTTAATCATAATTGAGAAAACACATCGAATACTTTGCCGTTAAATAATTTTCACTTTTAAATTCCCGAATTTCAATTTATAAGCATAAATTGAATTTTAGGCATTGTTTGAGCCCTGAGTCAAACTCTTTAATTAAACACGATATTGGTAATGCAGGCGCATACAAGTTGATACAGATGTAATCCCGGATAACCGGTTAATAGCGGCAAACTGTGTTTAATGCCTCCCGGCTTTACGTTTATGTTTTGGGGTCAGCTCTCATCGAAGCCCCAACAAACATATATCTGGACTTAAGCGAGACATATCTTAGATTCTTAAAGTCGGATATCATTGGTGGTCCGGGTCATGAGCCACCGTAAACAAATGAAGTGAAGTATAATCGCGTTTCGGTTTTAGTCTTATAAATTTGGAATATCTTGCTTACATATTATATGGATAAGGTATTTCACGCGTGCTGAAGTTATTAGCCATAAGTTAAAGGGCGTTTGCATTTTAAATCGTTAAAAATGTTTTATTAAAATGCTGTCCATAAATTAATCCATTGTATCGTTTTTTAATATACCTTTAAAATTTCTACCAGTGACCGCTAGCCCTAACCTGTGGAGGTTTAATCAACGGCTGGCCTTATTAAACAGTCAGTTTAATGCTTACATAAATGTCGAGGTATATAATAAACAAACGCGAATATTATTAAATCCCCCGGCGCCCGCCCAGACCATTTCCTGGATTTTATCCAACACCTTTGTAATATCGTAATTTTCTATAAATAACTAGCTATTTCTCGTGTCTTCTTTAATAAAATGTTTTATGTTTTATTTTACAAAAAATATCATAATGTTAGCAGATTCTAATGTTCATATTTTATTTTATAATTGTTTCACGACGAGTTTTAAGTAAAATTTACGATGACATTGCGCACGTGATCACTAAGAAAGCGATAAAAATATAATTTTTAAATAAAACACTTTAACGGTTTAAAACGCGAAAGTTAAACTTATTTGAAAATGATTTTTAACTTCGGCCCGACGTTTCGGATGCTTTGCAGCAGCCGTGGTCACGGGGAGACCCCCCGTCTCCCGTAGCAGTTTTTACTTTGACATTAGAGACACCCTACATCTTCAGTCTCCCCGTGACCATGGCTGCTGCAAAGCAGCTGAAACGTGGGGCCGTAGTTAAAATAATTTTCAAATATGTAAACTCATATATTTCACGTTTTAAACCGTTAAAGTTTTTATTTAAATGTGTACTACTCGCGTAAACTATAGACAGATTTAAAAATATAATGTTGTATATATAGTGTACTCCTCATTCGAATGAGCTTCCGATCAGCACCTCAAGCTCTCACCCATATTCCGGTGGTTCAAGACAAGACTGGCCTCTTTAGGGCTGCGTAGTCTAGCGGCGAAGATGTCCGGTATTGGGGCCCGGTTGGTCTTATGCAACATACGCAAGTCTATAAAAAATGCGATAGAAAGGAATTTCAGTCTAATGATAATTTCTCTCCTTCTTTCATAACATTAAGAAAATGGACATAATAAACAAATATTATCTGTAGTTCACGCGAGTAGTACACATTTAAATAAAACACTTTAACAGTTTGAAACGTGAAATATATGAGTTTACATATTTGAAAATTATTTTAACTACGGCCCCACGTTTCGGCTGCTTTGCAGCAGCCATGGTCACGGGGAGACTGAAGATGTAGGGTGTCTCTAATGTCAAAGATAAAAACTGCTACGCTAGCGCCACCTGTTTCGTAGTACATAATTGGTATTTGGCAAAACTGCCGGGTCCTAATAATTGTCTATAATCCTTATTAAATTTTTAACCATACATTATATAAAACTGAGCAATTATTCATAGAGCTAAGATTTATTTTAAACGTAAATATAAATCACGCCACTTTACCTGTAGACCATACAGATTGTGCCGGATTGAAATATGGCTGTGCGTTCTATTCAACCTTTTCATTTTGCCCATTGAGCAAAGCCACAATAGAATAAATTCTATTGCGAGCAAATATACAAACGCAGATATACCATATTTAGCGGCGATTAATCTGGATTTTAACGGATTTATAATTTCCTTTGATAAAAAAAGACGCCCAAGTAGCCATAGGTATACGAAAATTATTAAAATTTTTTTTCGATTTTTTAATTAAACACATTATTTTACATTAGTTTTATTTTTGTTGTTTGTGAACCCTTTATCTGACGTTTGAGGTGCTACACAGCACTCCTGGGTTATGGAATCAAAGACATCACTGAGATCGTGTTTTAAACTGCTAAAAATTTTATTATTTTATGTGTAAATTGTAACAAATTGTACTTGAATGTTATAAATAGCCTGTTTTACTTTCAAGGTCTAGACGATCTTCGCCCAAAACTTGATTAACTCTGAAACGTATTTGCGGTATAGCTTACTTTTACATTTTGAGGAAAAGCTCTATCGTATTTTGAATGCAAACTTTTTTACAATAAACGCATGATCCACGCCTGAATAGAGACGAAATGTAACCGTCGAAGGCATAACTAGAAAATTCTGAAACTCGTTGACCCGAAAATGGAGTAACATGAAAGTAAATAATAAAAAAGAAAATAAAACTGACGCGGTCGGCCTGATTCCAGTCCAGCTTAATGTTTTACTACAATAACTGAAGCTGGCTATTCATGGCTCGGCGAGGTCATGGCTCAGCAGCGGGAGAAATTGATGTTATTTCGAATGGAGCTGCATAAAGCGTTAGTTTCGGACGGACTTTTTCATATTGCTCATGAACCAAATAATTTCTTTGACCTTGACTTGAATTATTATTTCCACTGAACAAGGAAATAGTTTTTTCTTTTGTCTTTTATAACGAATAAGTATTTAAACATTGACTTTTTATATATTCTATTTTTGAGACATATATTGCAGAAATAAAACTCACTCTGAAGTAAGTAAATACCTAGTATTCACTGCCTTATATTAACGGTTAGTGGAAGCAGGAACCAGAAGTCTTTGGTTCGGATTCTGGGAACTCAAAAAAATTATTTTGGTTGGGGTGGGCAGTGAAGTCTAATATACTATTTGTCCAACAGATGGCGCTAGCGTAGTCAATTTAACTTTGACATTAGGGCTTTGACACTACCCTCGGGAACTACAGACAATACTAAACTACTTGTCTGTGAATAAAACAGGTTAATAAAACGGTCATCAGATGTGTCGTCAACGGTTTTATGGACATAAGACAAAAATATGTCTTGTCTATTCAATAAATCCCTTTATACTTTTCTGTTTAAGTTAAAAAATTCAAAAGTTTCTTATATTTATAGCCTACATAAGAATATCGTGCCCTATAAAGCAGTACCTACAAGGTAGTCTGTGAAAGAGAAGCTCATACAATAAATTAATAGAATCATAGCCTCAAGAGAGTTTCTTTGACGAGCGAGAAGCGAACTTAAGTAGTTACAGTGAAAAATTGTTTATTCTGACCCAGTACAACTAGCATCAAATAAAATCTGACCAGCGAAACATGAACCGTCTAGTGCTGCGTGTTTATGCTGACCTTACTTATTTATTACAAAGCAAGCATTTGTCGTAGAGACCAGTGTATGCTGGCGCTACAAGCTTTGGGTCAGTGATGTAAAACAGAGATTTTTCATTTCAAATTGATTGTAGGCTTTAAGGGCCGGATAACAGAAACACAATGAATTTATTCATGTAAATTTTTCTTCTATTATGTATTTTAACTATTCTTTAATCCAAAGCAAAAATAAGCCAACAGTGCATCTTTTTTTAGATTTTTTTCGGCTGGGGAGTAGTACCATCAATCGACTGACAGCCTCTGTAGCTAAATGGTTAAACGTGTTACTTAGCATTGCGTTAAGCGCGAGAGGTACTGGGTTCGAATCCCGGTAACAGTAAATTGTTTCTTTCGGGCAGGGCACAGAAGTCTAATCAAGTACTTGCCTGTAAATTAAACTGATCAGTGAAACGGACAAAGAATTCGCACCATGCCCCACGGGGGGAAACCGGATTTTAATAATAAACTAAACCCTTATCTCTCCTTCTCTAACGTAAAAAATACGATTCATAAAAAACTAGCGTATTTTTTTTTACAGATTCCCGAAATATATATCATTTATTGGGCCAAGTGTCGTGTGCTTTATAATAACCGTAATTAAGTGGAGACTAAAGATGGCAGTCAATAAAATAGCTAACGTCATTAATGCCGAGTCAAAAATGCTGCGCTATCGACGCGTGCGTTTCCATAGAACTAAGGTAATTCGTATTTAAAACCGCTTACAACTATTTTATTAAATGTGTGTTATTTGCGTAAACAGACATAACTGAATACTAGCCTATTTATTTATATACCTATATAATACGCACAATAATTGAATAGTTTTATCTTTATCGAGTTTAAACTTTGAATAACAATTAAAACGATTTCATCAAAACAACACAAGTTCAACCACAATTTGAAAGTTCAAGATACACTTTGTAAAGTACAATCAGCAAAAGAGTGATGTACTACTAAAAAAATAATTTATTATCGCGGTCACTGTATTCAAAAATTAATTGACATAGTGTATTTTTCTGATACAGTTTACGGCTAGTCTATAATATTTTCGTTTCTGGCCTCTAAGACAAATGCGGTGAAAAAATAAGGTAAATAATATTTTTATATGACGTCCCCGACGTATTTTTAATGTATGGTTTACAAAAAAAATAGTTCCCTCATCTTCTTCTTTTAGTAATTTTCATTATTTTTGGTAATAACATTAAGTATTGTAATAATAAAAGTTGTTTAGAAACAAAAAAAAACGAAGAGTAAAAGTATTTTTTTGTTGTCGCTACACTATACATGTGTAATATTTTCAATTAAGAGCGTCTAATTAAATCGCGCGAGGAGTTGTTTTTGCGTTCTAGAACTTTCTCGGTATTCTGTAACATGTGCGTCACCAATTTACTTGGATCTCAGTTCGGGAATCAGTTAATAGTATTACTTAATCATATATATTAGGTTCTTTTTAACAAGGTCACTATTATCGTGGTCCGCATAAAATTCTTCGAAAGATTAGATTCGGTGATTTGAGTTTAAATTGAAATCATTATTAAGAAATAATATTTTTAAATAAAATTAAACAAACACAACTTGAGAAAATGCTTGGATTTTCGAGCTCTTCGTCATCAGGTACCTAATGTTGCTCGTTACTCGCGTCAAACTTCGCTTAGTCGAAAGAACTTTTAAAAAGAAGAAGAATTGAGGCGAAAGTCTTATACAATTTATAAAACATAGCTCCTACTAGAATATTAATTATATTGCATGACAACAACATTGTAGTTTAGTATCGAGTTATCTCATGGATTGACAGTGTAAGCGGCTGGTGCAGAGCATTCGAGAATACAAACGATCTCACTTAGAAGTTTGATGTGTTCAGAATAAATTTCATTAGAGTTCTATGGTTTTACATTTTAAGCAGATGTTAGGGAGAGCGAGTCAAATCGAGTTAGCAGGATGGATGGTCTCACGATTTAACTATACTAACTGTAAAATTATTAGCACGTGATATTTTAACTTAGGTAAAGGTTAAAATAATCGGCTAAGTCCGAATCAACCTCAAGCACAAATAGCTTTGCGTTAATCTATAGTCAAAACAAATGGCATAAATTTTGTATATGATTCCACAGATTAGCAGAATATATTTACTTTGTTACTATTCGTTTTAGCAACAATAGGGAATATATTGTCTGTGGAAATTTAAATTGGTACACACTGACAGTGGAATATTAGTGATGGAAGCCCGTTTTAGGTACGATGATACGGAACTCAACAACGCATATCCTTCTTTCTAAGTAAATTGTAATTTAAGCTACTACACTCAGGATTAATTTAATACAAATACGATCTTTACGCTTCTGCAAAACCCTCTCAAGTTTGTCCCAGAAAGCGTTCCCGTGTCAAAAGTTTTATCTTTGCAGAAAGTAAATAAAACCAAATGTTCGGTTCGCACGCTATAATTGTGCAAAAGGTAGCAACTTCTTTCTTCTGAAAAAGAAGTGATAATTCGTTTTCGACTAAATCATTTATTCATGTTAACGCAGCTTAAAATGGCTTGGTTTTTCGGATCGCGCGTCACATGTTTATTGTTAGAACAAAATGGAATTTTATCGGTGAAAAAAATGTTTAGTAACAAAACATCGTGTATTTTCGTTGTATACAGATCACTTTTTCATTGAAAATTTAAATTTAAGTTTTAGAATCAACAATCTTAGATAAACGAAAAAATATAACCAGCGACACAAAACAGGACTATAGAAAGTTATTTCTCAAATCAGTGTCTCTATAAATACATTGTTTTTTCTCGCTAGTGTCATACAGATTGGACATAATTAGTGACATAATATGTGGGCTTCATTGAAGCGGACAGAATTTAATGCCACTTAGTACAGAACTGCCCCCCAAGGTAATCGTATCTTGATACCATTATAATATTGATGGAAGGAACTATTTTTATCAATCTCGAAGTCTAGAAATAAACTAACACGCAATTTAAGCATATGTAGGATTAATATAATAAGTAATTATGTAGGTTTAAGATTCTATTTTGTATTTCCGTAAGGTTAGGTTGTATAAAATATATAAATTTATAACGCATGTGTATACTCAATAAAGACATTCCTATTCCTTCAAATGTACCAAGTTTAAAAGTTTTTCATGACTATTTTGTGTTTTATAGACATCACTAACATCTCCTCTTTTTTGTTGTTCATTGTTTCGCGTTTGTTTAATAAACAAACAATTGTTTATATCTCTTTGAGATAACATCACTTGGTAATTACAAGTCATACGCAATGAACGTCCAGTCAATTGTGTTTCTACTGTTTTCAGTAATGCTAATCGTAAGTGTTTTATAAACTATAGGTATAAATAAATTTGAAAAATATTTCAATTTTATATACAGCGTCCTCGTATCAATGCTCAAAAGATAATATCACACAGGTTCCGTTGCACATAGCCCCCCACAGAGCTAAAGCATACGAAACGTCACGTTAGTTAACTTAGATAATTACAAACTTATATAAGATTTTTTATTCAAATAAAAGAGACGATGTTTGACGAATGTCATTTGTTTCGAGGATGCCTGGCAAACCCTTGAAGAAAGACCTTACAGACCAATGAGAGGTGATCTGCATTATCACGCCAAGAGACACATGTTGCCTCGTGAGGTTGAAGCTAAGAGGCGGTCAACCTCACAAAGGCCGAAAGAATTACGAAAAAAGGTAAATAAAACTTTTTAACATAACATAATTTGAATAAATAAAATGGTTACATTAACGTGGTCAAATACAAACATGTATATTCGAACTTACAATAAACGTTTCAGCCATCAGGTCATCTGAAACCGTTAAATGAAGATGATATGGAAAACGATGAAGTCGTTTCTGTAGCGGTAGGTCCACCAGCGATTAGACCTAAATATGATAAGATGCAGAAATACTTACTGAAAACAGCCCCATCTGCAAATAATGTTGTAGAAAATACAGCCGGTACCAACCTGGTAAAAAATGTCTTAACACAGTTAGGAAGAGAATTTCTTACTCATCAAGTGAGTGAAGACTTTGTTTTTGGACAATATGTTGGAAATAGCATGCGAAATCTCACGAGTGAGCTAAAATTAAAAATGCAACATGAAATTTTGGAGCTCATAGTGAAATACCAGAATGGCAAGAAAGCTGAAAAGACACCTTCAACTACATCAACGCCACAGCCCGAAGACAAGCTAAGCAACACGATTTTCAAAGACGTAAAAGAAATGAAGGATATTAAGGAAAATGATAAGAAAAGTGAAACAGACGAAGGATGGCCGGATTTCAGTAATTTAGCTAAAATTGTTGGGAAATAAATGCAAAGTCTTATTGATAACTTACCTATTGTTAATAATTTCGAAAATTTAACTTTAAGAAAAGAAAATATGAAGAAAATACAAGTCATTAGGTGGTTAGTTTTCCAAACACATTACATTACACACTTACACACTCAAAATAATTAACGAACACGACAAGGTACTAGACAATTAGTGAAAAGTATTTTACATATAAAGAAAACGTAGTTGCTATAACTTAAATGAATTTTGTACTTTGACGTCAGATAACAAGACTGTCATATTTTCACATAGATTAAACAACGTAGAAAATGATTTTATGTACTTCTTAAACAATTTATACTTTTGTACCTAGATTTTACTGGAATTTATTGGAAGGACAAATGAAAACTGGTGTTAGATGCAAGGTTTCATGAACAGGTTTGTCTTTAGCACTCAACTAGCTAAATGAAATAGGTTGTGGCCCAGTGGATGACTCATTATTACGTACCCGACAAGAGGAGTAGATTTAAAAATTGCTGATAAAAAAGTTTCCTTTTTATTTACTTACTTCCTGCAATACAGCTATTCAGTAAATGTTTAGTTCTCTAAAAACCCTCGTAAATTGTGCTTTTTGGTATTCCATTAAAGTATTAAATTATGACTATATAACGTAATATTATAACGCTTTCAAAAGTTATAATTCTATAACAGCCTACTAGGCTAACTCGTCCCTTAGCGTAGAAGGGCCAAACGGAGCAAAGTTTTTCTACATATTTCCACTAGTATTTCTACATGTTTATAATTTGATTATACAATAATAAATAAATGAATGTAGAAGACAACATATATAAGCGCCGTTCAAAAGATTCCCAGCAATATCCCCCACACTCGCTTTCCTGACATATCCGCCGGAACCGTGAAAGATTTTCAGTCACGATTTAATCAAAAATTCGTTGAAAGCAACAAATAATATCCGCTCTTAGCTGTAGCATCGTTAGTGAACGTCAAAACTGCAAGATGTGCACTTTAGCGTTTGTCTCCCGCTTCATTAGTGCCACTCGCTCTAATAAAACGTTTATTTTGCAATTCCTCGAATAGGATCGTGGAGCGAGTGTAAGATATAATTGAGCTTTTCAGATTATACAAGAATTCAAATTCACCTTATTGCATTTCCTTAGAAACATTTCCATCTGATTCTATTCACTGTAATATGTTTGTTATAAGTCTATAATTCTGTGCCATATTCGACATCAATTTTAATGATATATACATTTTTTTGGGATTCGAGCCGTTTTGCCGGCGCTAAAAACAATGCTAGACAATAAGTTTAACTGAACCACAGAGCAAGCGGATTCTATCCTATTCGACTGCGTGTTTGCTATATTTTATCTACTAGCTGATCAAGCAAACTTTGTTTTGTTGTTTGCAAGATTAATATTATTATGTCTATAGAACGCTTAGAAATAATTCTTAATTACCATATCCGTGGACATTATTTAAATTTTTTAAAGAGAAACTTACATATTTTTTGACTTCTTGAACCGGTTTCGCAACGCACGTTGTATTATTTACCCCATTTTTATCACATTTCCTACCGTTTTTTATCGTCATCAATATAATAATTTTTCAAATTAGCAGTTCCTGAGATTAGCACGTTCAAACAAATAAACAAACGAACTCTCCTAATTTATATTAGTATAAATTAGGATTAACTAAATATTATTATTCCATATACTAATTAACTATGTTAATATTTGAATATTTCAGAAAATACATATCAATAACGAAGCTGGTATCAGTCAGCGTACTGCACTGTACACTAACGGAAGTAAGGACTCATTTAATTAAAACTTGTACAGGCAACGACATAATCAGTCCTTTATATACGGCCGCCATCTTTTTTCCGTTTCACTAATTTGAAAGCAATTACAGTAGAGTACCAACGTCTGAATATCAAGCACTTCTAATTAGGAGCAGCTCACAAAGTTTTTTAATTGCACTCCAGGTTTGACCCTACCCTTGGAAAAGCTGAGGGTGCACAGAGGTTATTTTAAATTGCTCTACACTAAGACCATGTTTAATGTTTTCAAGACTTCTCTTATGAGCCGTGCTTGCGATTTTCTTTGCTTTATGTAGAATGTATTTTTTGCTGTACGCTAGTTTAAGGTTCGTATGTATAATAGTATGTATGCTTGTAACTTTTTTATTTGTTGATTTTTTATGCTTTACACAATAGCTGCGTTTAGTTATAGATATATATAGGTTTTGTTTGTCAATACATCTTTTTGTACTAGACACTAGCTGAAAATATTTAATTATAAAAAATTTAAGAGAAATGAGCTACACTAAAAAAAACAAGAGGAAATGAAAAATCTGCTTTTATTTTACTTTCTCTTGTATATAAAAAATAATCCTTGTGCTTCTAACATTTCTCAGTGTAGCCTTAACTTAGCAGAAAAATCAAGAGGAAATTTGATTTATTAAAATTAATTTCTCTCCTAATTGAAGTTTGACACTGCTTTTGTTCTTTTCTTTGGTGAATTTTTACCAATATCTGCTGATTTTCAGTCCGCTTCCATCGTAATTATTGCTAAATTGCTTTTCTGGCAAATAATTTTCTAAAAAGAAGTAAGTATAACATACATATATATAAAATGAAGTGCTATATTAGGTATGTTTTTATTCATTAGAAATTGGAAAGAAAAATGGCCTTCGCTAGACGTACCTAAACTTATGGAAAAGAACATTACATTATTATTATGAAACTATTAAAAATCAAAATTATCTTAAAAGTAAATGAATTTACGTCTATAGAATGCAAACTAGGGGTTTGTGTCTGTAGGGTGGCCTTTATTACGCAGCTATCAAACGTTGCGCCAAATAAAAGATTTTCGGTCGGGCAGAAGATAATTAATTAATTATTTTTTGAGTAAATCGTTTTGTTAAAGAGACGTTAACGACAACATTTACATACTACACTTTTAACGGTTTGAAACGCGAAATGTAGTATTTAACTATTTAAATAAAACACTTTAACGGTTTAAAACGCGATATATTATTAAACTTATTTGAAAATGATTTTTAACTTCGCCCGACGTTTGGATGCTTTGCAGCAGCCGTGGTCAGGGGAGACTAAAGATGGAGGATTCTCAGACTCAAAGTAAAGAATTGTATACCCATCTTTCTGATTGGTATTTGGCGAAACTGCCGTCCTTACAGAATGACTAACGGTGTCTTCGCGTTTGCTGGTATGTGTTTATTGGATAATTTTTAATATGGATAGGTTTGATATTGAGGCGTCCTCCCTATTGAAATTTCGTTTTTTGATTTCAATTGTTGGTACCAATCTTGGAAAAAATCGACTCTCCTTTGGAGGATTTTTGTTGGTCAAAGCGAATTAGTATTGGCCCTTCTATGAGTTTGGATACCGAGATTTGGAGAGAGTTATGTTTTATATCCGCGACGTTCTTTAATTCTTTTGAGATGCTACGCTTTGTTTGGGATGTAGGATAGGCCACAATCAAATCCATCTGTAAACGCCTGCATCTTGTAAAGGATAGTAACTTTTGTTTCAGAATTGTAATCTTCTTTGGCTTGAAAATTTTCAAAGAAGCTGATTTAGGACTCTGCTAATTCTATCTGTAACTCCCTAAATGAGGTAGGGGGTGACTTTGATGTGGGGGTTTCCTGCCTGATGCTGAGGGACTCTAGCTTGTTTTGATAGGACCTGCTTGACATGCTGTAACTCCTCATTTAAGTGGGCAGCATAAGAACGGCGGGCTCTCTGAAACAAAGATACTCCGACAGAACTAAGTTGGTGGGGTTATGTAGTACTTCAAATACCTATTGTAGGGTTGTTTTTTAAAGAGATCCCAATATTACCGTTTCATCACAATTACTAATCTAAGAAAGGAGTTATTCTTTCATTGTAAACTTAATTATTTAATTAAAGGTTTAAAAATGAATACTTGTTTTGAAGATGGTGAAGGTATCATCTACGTATTTGTAAAGTTAGGTTTAACCGGGAAGAAGAAGGGCTCTCTCCTCAAACAAGCGTAGCATCTCAAAAAATTAAAGAACATGCGATATAAAACATAAACTCTCTCCAAATCTCGGTATGCCAACACTATAGAAGGCCCAATCACTACATTCGCTTTACCAACCAAAAATCCTCAAGAATATTTTTTCAAATTGGTAGCGAAGCAATTGAAATCAAAAACACCAAATTTAATAGGAGGACGGCCTCAACTATCAAACACCTGGATCCCATATAAAAACTCTGATCCCAATAAAACATACCAGCAACGAAACACTTATCAATTTACGTTTGCAAATACCAACTTCGAGGAAAGATGGGTAGCGTAGCAATTCTTTACTTTGACGTCTGAGACATCCTCCATCTTTATCTCCCGTGACCACGTGCTGAAAGCATCCAAACTCGGGCGAAGTTAAAAATCATTTTCAAATAAGTTTAACTAATATATCGCTTTTAAACTTAAATTTTTATTTAAATTTATATCTAAATATAAAATTTTTAACTAATTTAACTACGGCGCGACCGATATTTTGAATGGTTTACAGCAGTTGTAGTGACAAGAGACCCATCCTCAAACCGTCAAATGTTTTAATTTAAATGTGCACTACTCTCGTTAACTACAGACAATTAACTAATGTTTACTTTAATTTAAGCATTGAAAAAACATGAATAGATAACATAAACGTAATAAAGAGAGAAAAGCACTTCGATTCCTTAACCCGTGAAGCCTTCTAAGCCGGTATGGTAATTGCAAAGGCTGTAAAAGTACCGCTAAAAGCAAACAACGATAAAACGAGAAAAAGTTCGTGAAAATTGTGAATTTGCAGGTGGGCGCCATAGTGTAAACGATACAGATATCGATCGAGATCCGAGTTTGTTTTAAGAATTGTAACCGGTGGTTATAGTCAACCCAAGAATTACTAAGCTGTAACCACATGATTTAGATATAGGATACGTCATACATTTTAGTTTTCGACCTTTGATATCATTTTGTAATTAACTT